CGCGGCCGGACCAAGGCAGGAGAGCAGGGCCCTTTCCTCCTCCCAAGGGACGGCGGGGCGGTGGGCCAGCCGGCCGGAAGCCTGAGGCCTGGGCCTCGCTGGCGAGTTGGGCCAGTGCCTGGGCAGGGGCCTGGGGCTCGGCCCTGCCGCGACGGTCTGGATTCCCTCCTCTGCGGGTGGTGGAGATACTTGGGTGCATCTGTGTGCATCCTGGGAGACGGGGCATGGGGCGCATCTTGGGTGCAGTTCAGAGCGTTAGCCGCACTCTGAACTGGGGCACAAAACAGCTTCCCGCACCCCCCGAAGAGACACCACAAGAAAATGGAAAGATTGAATGATAGCTAGGGGGACTGGGTGTGATTACCAGCTGTGTGACTCCATTTCTTCAACTGTAAAATGGGGGTAGCAATACTCCCTTGTCAATCAGGAAGGGTGAGAGTGTAACTGAGTGAACAGACGTCAAATGTTGTTTTCTGTGCCTGACACAGGTCTGCACGAGCCGTGATGTTTGAGGAGATGGACAGTGGAGTGGGACTCCATGGTCAGCCCTGATGTGAAAGCACCAAGGCCTCCACTGAGGCAGAATCTGGTCTCCCACGTTTCTGGGGAGCCTGAAAATTTCCAGAGAGTGGTCTGAATCGTCAGGGTGACCACTAGGTGTGTGGGAGGCAGCCTGATTCTGAGTCATCTGAATTCCCCTTCAAAACGAGCATTCCATTCACAAGTTCAGCTGACTCATAACTTAGTTTAATCCTTTGTGGAGCACATCGGTGGGGAAGTGCCGGAGGGTCTGGCTCGGGTGGAGGAGAGAGGTCTCTTCTGACTACTGGCGCTGGCTTCGGCATCGGTGCCTAGTTGAAGTCCATTGTCCCACTCAAGAGCAGGCTCAGGGGCTAGGCTCCTCTGACACACGCTCCCCATCCCTCACTGGCCTCCTTGCCACACTCTGCCCAACCTCCTGCATTGTGTAAGGTCTGAGACCTCTTGGGTGTTGGGCATGTTGATCCCCGTGGGCAGGCAGGCAAGCTGAGCTAGTACCCCCCAGGGGCTGGCAGGGGAGCCGCATGGCCAGGCCTCAGGGTCCTGCGTCCCACCGGGAAATGTGCTCCTGAGCTGGAAAGGAAGCAGAAGAGAGTGGGTCTGGGTGGCAGACCAGGAAGTCCTGGGATGGGACCCTGCTGCACCCAGTCTGGAAGATCCCATGGCCATGGTCCCATGTGGAGCTCCAGACCCTTCTCGCAGGGGCTGCTGGGAGATGGAGCTGGGCCAGGTTTCACTTCTGCCCTCTACCATAGTTCACCGGTCTCCTGGGAATCAGGGGACACTGAAGAACCTGACAGGTCCCCAGGGAGCAGCTTTGGTGTTAGGAGGAGAGGGTTTCAGGAGAAATCCCCCACCAGGCTGTGGTTTCAGTTCTGCCTCTATGTGGACTTGCTGTGTGATGCTGGACCCATCATTTCCTCTCTGGGCCTCAGGAGCCTGCAGGTACAAGGCTCTGAGTGAGGTATCCTCTGTGGTGCTGTGTGCTCAGAATCGCTCTGGACCTGCGACCGAGGTATCCTAGCAGCCTGGAACAGGCCAGCAGCCCCCAGAGGACAGAGATCAGAGAATGGGAGCCATGGGAAGGCCCTCACCAAACTGGCAGATGTAACGGTTCCGGGTTTTGCAGCGTTGGTCATTCCAGTTGAAGGCGGCTGATGCCTGCAACTCCACGCAGTTGCCAAACCTGCCAGCCAGAGTGCAGGGTGCTCAGCGGGGAGGAGTGAAGCCAGTGGGCTGGGAGAGGCTTAAACTCGCCACCCATCAGGCTCCCTGCATCTGAGAGGCCCAGAGGCTGCAGAGAGGGCTGCTGGGAGCCAGACCTGCCCCTGAGCCTCCATCACAGGGGTGACAACCCTGCCTACCCCACTACAGCACTCGGCCACATCAGCCAGTGGGGGACATGGGGACCTGCAACAGACAGGCCCATGTCCTTCCCTCTCAGCAGGGAGAAGGTGTGCCTGGCAGCCCAACCAGGCAGGGACTTCCTCCAGGCAACAGGCCGGGGCACAGGCCTGCCATCAAGGAGGGCTGGGTGAGATCCCTGGTCTCACAGCCTGACCTCCTCCAACCCTGCCCAGGACATTCCTGGGCTTTGAAAACCAGGGCAGGGCGATGTGACCAGAAGGACCTCAGTACAGGATGCTGGTGGGTCAGCGGGTGGGAGGATGTATCCTGAATGGATGCAGGGAGGATGAGAGCTGAGGAATGGCAGAGTCAGTGTCCTCTGCAGCCAGGGGGCAGGGGATGATGAGAGCTGGGGGATGGAGGAACAGCTGGGGACAATGGGGACAGGTAGAGGGATGGGGCCATCACTCTCAGCCCCCACAGCCTCCTGCCTCTTAAGAGCTGGGTCTCCCTTCTGTCCCCTGCCTGCCTCACCTCTCTGTGCACAGGGGACCAACTGGCCACTCACAGGCCCAGGCAGTGTCCAGCCCACAGGAAGGTTTTGTTTCACCTGTGCAGTGTCTTAAATACATTCAGATGACTAGCTGTGCCCAGACTTCTCTGCACTTGGGCACCAGGTGAGGCCTGGATGCTCAGAGGGCCCAGCCGGGAAGGAGAGGCTTTTCAGTGGAGTCTGAGGGCTCAGCCAAGTCAGCCCTGGGTGAGAAGGGACCCGGGGAGGGAGGGCAGCCCACACTCACCCCTGGTTGTCAGGCTGTCCAAAGGCAAAACTGGTGAAGGCCTGGTGCTCCCCAGTAGTCCAGCGGAAGGAATCTTTGGTAGTCTTGTAGGTGAGCCCTGGGCGAGGGTAGCCAATGTTGGCTGACCACCTGAGGTTCCTGGACCCACTCGGAGCCCAGACACCTTGCAAGGAGGTTCCCAAGCCCAGTGCCTGCTGCCTGCTGCGTTTCTGGGCCCTCTTCCCAATGCTTCCAGCCCCCGCTGTGATTCTCCCGCCTCAGCCTGGCTGCTGGCTCTGTTCTAGGCCCTTACCACACCCTTGCCATCTGCTGACGGATGCTCTCGACTGCCCAGGTCCCTGGAGCAGGCTGGGGCACAAGTCCCTGCACTGACCACACCTCCAACCAGCCAGGCACTCACCGATCCAGAAGTTCCTGGTTTCAAAGTCGCTGTCGGTCACCTCGTTGGTGGTCTCCAGGTGGCCCAAGTAGAAGGCGAGGATGTCCTGCACTTTCTGGCTCTTGATCTGGGCCAGCACCCCGCCCTTCCTCTGTAATCCCAACCCCAGGTCACACTGGTAGGGTCCCCAGAGCTCTGGCAGGAACCGGCCCTTCCTGCCACCCCCTATGGCCAGGGACGCCAAATGTGTATGCTGGCTGGTCTGTCATCACTCTCAGCCACCACGGCCTCCAGCCTCTAAGAACTGGGTTTCCTTCCTGTCCCCTGCCTTCTTCACCTCTCTGTGTACAGGGGACTGACTGGCCACCCACAGGCCCAGCCAAAACCTTTCCCACAGAAAGGTTCTGTTTCACCTGTGCAATGTCTTAAATACATTCAAATTGATCGCAACATTAATAACTTGAGTGATGCCAATGAAAATCTGGATTTCTGGTTCTCTTGAGAAATTCTGAGTTCTGGCCACCCTGAACTCAAATTCCTGCATGGCAACCAGCAGCCAGGCCTGAGGCAGATCAGGTCCCTTAGGCAGGGGTCGAGTGGGGCCTTGTCCTTGGGCTTCTCAGGTCAGTAAGTGACCTGCTGACTTCTGTGAGCCTCCAGGTCTGTGACCCCTGCTTTATGCTAATGAAGAGAGTGAGGTCAGAGAAGTCAAAGGAGCCATCTCTCAGTCCAGGACCCTCCACTAAGACCCTCCCTTGAAACTCCGGAGTCCCAAGGAAGACAGGGACCAACTATCACCTGGCATTTCATTTTGGCTCTGTAGTAAGTGTCTGCCTCTGAAGACACCATGAAGCAGTCTCCGTCGATCCTCAGGTCGCAGGTGTGGAAGGGAAAGTGCACCTTGGCTGGGGTGAGGGAAGCCTGAGTTTGTGTGAACCTCAGAGTTGTTATCCTTTCCCTTTCCCGCCCTGCCTTGGGGCTAAGCTCAGAGTGCCCCTTCCTTTGGCCACCCATTCCAGATTGGAGAGCGGGTCAGGGTCAGTAATGTGCTGATAAACCTGTGATAAGCTCTCTAAAAAAAAGCCATGGTTTGTAGCATTTGTCCATTTCTGTGGTGTAAACACCCACTCTGTGCGTGGACCAGTGTGAGGTCACTGGATGAGCTGGGAAGAGATGCATACACTGGGCTCCTGGGAGCTGGTGTCCACTGAAGGGGGTCTTGGGAGGGCCTGGGGGCAGGACTCACTGGCACACTGAGCTCCCCCGTAGCCAACATCGCAGATACAAGAGCACTCCTCCTCCCGGAAGTGGCCATGCACGCACTGCACACTGCACCGCACTGCAGGGCAGGGCAAAGCAATGAGCCCCCAACCATCTGAACCCTCCACTGCCTCCCTCAGCCCTCGAACATTCAGGGAATGCCAACCAGCAAGAACATCCCTCCCAGAGATAGAACCAGCAGGGCTTCCAACTGCTGCCATGCTTGGCGTCTTTGGTTTGCTCCTTGTTGTAGACAGAGGCCAACTGGAGTTTGGGAAGTGAAGTGACCTGCTCATGGTCACAAAGCAGGGTGGGGGCACAGTGGGACAAGTACCACTTCTGGTTTCTAATTCTGGCCTCCCGCCACCCTCCCAGAGCCTAAGGGGCCAAATCTGATTCCTTTGAATCTCCTGCACAGCTCAGGGTCTGGCAGAGACTTGGGGCTCAATGAATGCTTGTTTTTTTTGAGTTGGAGTCTCACTCTGTCGCCCAGACTGGA